AAAAAAAAAAAAAGCTTAAGAAATATGGTACATATTTCTTGAAGTCTCAACCCACTTTCGTAAGTATACTTGAATATTGACTTCAAGAGTAGAAGCCATGTACCGAAGGATAACGACGTGTTAGTCTGACAGCGTGACAAACGACTTGGCCTTCTTTCCATTGTTATCACGGGGCGCTAACACACCGGGGCCTTCTTTCTTAGCTACCCTTGTGCACAGCACATCTTGTAGACAACACAGGGTTGCCATAACTCCTTTCCTCTTCTTGTTTAAATACCTCTTTAAAGATTTAAGGTAAGTTTTGTCCCAGGTTGCACAACAGAACAAAAGTGATGGCACCAAAATCTCAGAGAGTAGCCTTAAAGAATCATCAATCTCCTCTCGCTGATTTGTTGGAAACCGCCCCACTGTTTAGTTCAATGGGCTATCTTTGTATTATCTGCAAGTGAAAACATGGGACCAACAACTACGTTATAATATAATTGTGCTGACATCAGAATTGGCTGAGTGGAGTGTTTTCAGAATGTGTGGTTATCTCACAGCTTACCTAATTTCATGTACTCTCCAGACATATTATGGAAGTCTATCTTTGTGGGTTTTTCAATTTTCAGAAATAGAAATAAAACTATCCTTAAACCAATTACAATAATTTCAAAAATAGTAGAGGTCATGGGCTTTCCCTTAGATGTTACTTCTTGAGGTTTTCACTGGGTATTAGAAAAATATTGTGTATTTTTTGTTACTTTCGGTAGAGGTTCAGAAAGCATTAAAGCTCACTGAACTCCTTTGCTGTGACTGAATGATATTTCAAACTCTTTTTGCCTGAATTTCATAATGAAACAAAAAAGCCTACTTATTTAAGACTTTTATTTTTAATGCATTTCTTTCAGATTCCTTTTAAAATGTAAACCGACTCTTCCCCTGGAAATTAACTTATTTAAATTCCTGGGTGTCTGATAAATAGAACCCAATTTTAATTTTTTAAAAAATATATCTTTATTGATTTCAGAGAGAGGAAAGAAGAGGGAGAAAGAAAGATAGAAACATCAATGATGAGAGAGTCATTGATTGAGCCCGCAACCCGGGCATGTGCCCTGATGGGGAGTCGAACCCTGATTGCCTGGTTCCTAGGTTGACACTCAACCGCTGAGCCACGCCCTGCCGGGCCCCAATTTCAATTTTTAAAAAACGTACCCACATTCATAGTTTATTAAAGTCCTACGTACTTGATTATATTGAGTTAGAAGTTAGTTTTCTTTATTTAGTATGACTTTCTCAACTAAATTTTATTTTAATAATGTATACTCTAAGCAATTATATCCTTGCAAATATGTTAGGTACTAGACCCAGGTTCAAGAATATTATATGATTTTTTTTTTTACTAGACATTTTACAATATATCAGGTAATATTCTCTCTTAATGTAAGTGAAATTCATTTTCAAGGCCTGAAATAGAATAGGAGATTTCTTATCAGTATTCAACAACTTTCTATTCAAGAATAAATGTGACTCCAGTTAAACTGAGAAAGCCTAATCAGTAATAGAAAATCTTATGCTCAAGTGTTTTTTCAAAATTATTTTGAAAAATAGGTCCACTTTCCTTTTAGTAAGTATTTTCAAGGCTCTTACATTTAAAATACTTTATTTCAGAGTTTTACTCTCTGAAACCTTGTTCTATAGCAAGTGGATAGAATTATTCTCTTATAAATGAGGAAATATAAGTATGTGATCTTTGGTTGCATCTACAGGGTTGATAAAGTGAATTGTCACTGAAACTTTCTACTTAATCCATCATTTTGTCACACTTGTCAGGAAATATTTGGGTACAAGAGGGGAGATGCAAACAGTGAGTAATAAATTTCTTAACTGTGCACTTATGTTTTGATTTATATTTTACTTCAATTACCTTTAAGCTCTGGTACTTGTAAACACCATTTAATGAATTACCAATAAAACAATAATTTTGAAACTGGCTTCTAGTATGTTCAGCCTGAGTCACACTATTTCAGTATTTCTAAGGACACATTCACTAATACAATCAAAGAACTACATTTTGAGTGTGTGAAAAACATGAAGGGATCACCTAACATCCTTTCTTTATTCAAACCAAACCTC